TTTTAGAATTTTAACCCTCTCCCACCCTATTGTGTGGTTGTGTGTTAGCGCATGCATTGCAATTGCTGAGCTTTTTTCTAAATTACTTATCTTCTCGGGGTCAACCATTCTTACCTTAGCTAAATTCTTATGCTCTGACAATCTGACTACCCCTGACCTACTAGTTTGACCTATGTAGTTGACCTCACAGTCATTGCATGGTATTTTGTAAATAATATTATTTTGTCTAATTGGGTCAACTGGGTCCTTTAACCTACAGAGCTTGTCCCTGAGTGAGTTTGTAGGTTTAAATGCCACCCTAATTCCTATTTTATTCAGAATCCTACGTAGTGTCTCAGATGTCCCCTCTTTATATGGTATAACTGTGGATGACTTATATTCTTTCTTATTTATGTTATTATTACTAGTTTCACAATTATTTTTTTTAAATTTTGTTTTTGGCCTAAAAAAAAATAATTGTGAAACTAGTAATAATAACATAAATAAGAAAGAATATAAGTCATCCACAGTTATACCATATAAAGAGGGGACATCTGAGACACTACGTAGGATTCTGAATAAAATAGGAATTAGGGTGGCATTTAAACCTACAAACTCACTCAGGGACAAGCTCTGTAGGTTAAAGGACCCAGTTGACCCAATTAGACAAAATAATATTATTTACAAAATACCATGCAATGACTGTGAGGTCAACTACATAGGTCAAACTAGTAGGTCAGGGGTAGTCAGATTGTCAGAGCATAAGAATTTAGCTAAGGTAAGAATGGTTGACCCCGAGAAGATAAGTAATTTAGAAAAAAGCTCAGCAATTGCAATGCATGCGCTAACACACAACCACACAATAGGGTGGGAGAGGGTTAAAATTCTAAAAAGTAATCTAGGTAGGTGGAGAGAGAGGTTGATTACTGAATCCTTGTTCATCGAGTCTACACCCAACACATGCAATAGGAATGACTCGTCACTCATACCTGAAATATGGAAAATACTATTACCAATCAAATCAAGGGAAAATCAAGAGAAAAACAATGGAACTATATAAATGAATTTAGGAAGTCGTGTGATTACCTTGATATGATTATGAGCAATAAATTGTGCTCGAAACGTCATCAGTAAACATTACTGTATAACACTGTGAGACTTTATCAAAACAAAATTTACCCATAATGGAGAAGCTAGATAGTTTTACTACATGTACTTGTATTTATCAATTCACCTGCTGCTGCGGAGAGATTCATGTCAGGTTTACCACTGGATAGCTTAACCGATGTGTCACTGAACACCTCCCATCATGGTTTAGTAATCGACAGATAAAAATAATCTGTAACTACTTCGTTTCGTTAGGTTGATAGTGAACACACAGTGGACACAAAAAAGCATTCAAGGGGATTAGCGCATCCCATCGAATCTTTTCAATACTCTTTGTATTCACCCACTACACTCAAGTGAGACAACTGGTATTCAAACTATTAATCTTAGACTATGCATTCAGAAGAGATCCGTGCAGCTATTATCCCTCTTTTCCCTTTTTAAGACATAACCGACTGATTATACCAGCACTACTTATTATATAGTTTAACCCTTTTCTTACCATTTTTTGTCAACCTTTCCTTAGTCTTAATGTATGTTCATCAAAATTTAGTTTGTTTACTTCCCTTAGGATCTAACATCGTCTAACCTGCCTGTTTGTTTTTCCAGATCAACCTGGACTTCACTACTAGCCACCACCAATTAAAATAACATCATGTTAGTCTTCAGACATCTTTGAAGCATCCGTATTTCAACCGAAAATTACAAGAGAGCGGAAACATTTTGGTTCAACGTAACCAATACAAATTAACCTATTAACTGTACCCAATACGTCTATTTTAACATTTGTTAGTAAAATCATGCCGTTTCTGACAATCCTTATTTCTGATAATCGCTCCTCGTTATCTGTAGAATTATCGTCACTATTATGACAAACTGCTCAATTTATATCAGCCTATTGACGTATTACTATTCTTATCAGGCATTACGTAGTTAAAAGATGTATATGAATTAGATCATACTGGGAATTTTCAAAACTCCTCTGCCTGGTGCTTCATATTCTCTGTCTAATTCAGTGAAGTTATGTTACCATTATTATTATTCCAAATCAGTTTGGAAATCTTCTGCACTCCGCAGCATAAAGAACAAGATTCAGATCTTCAACGCAAATTCTAAGTAAGCTAATATATATTACTTTGAAGTTTGTTTGGGGTGCAGCTTGGTGTCCGGATTCTATCAGATGTTCTAAGATGGAGCTGCGGGGACATCGTTTTTCTCCTTTGTAAAACCATGCTGGTAAGTGTTCGGTGATACGCTTGGAAAGCGAACGCTGGGTACGGCCGACATACCTGGCTCCACACGAGCAAGTGAATTGGTAGATACACATTGATGAGGCCAACAGTGGTAGCTTATCCTTCACGTTCACATGAATCATAGGTTTTGTGGAGAAAGTTAGTCGTAGTTCAGCTGCGAAGAAGGTCTTCTTGAGTGAGCGCGACAGTCGATTTTTTAGTGTTTCCGCAGATATATCTCCATTGAATTGAAGATTCATGTAGAGCGGTTTCTTCGGGACGCTATGCATGGGCGGCTTTTGTGGCCTAGGATTCATAGACGCCCATGCATAGCGTCCCGAAGAAACCGCTCTACATGAATCTTCAATTCAATGGAGATATATCTGCGGAAACACTAAAAAATCGACTGTCGCGCTCACTCAAGAAGACCTTCTTCGCAGCTGAACTACGACTAACTTTCTCCACAAAACCTATGATTCATGTGAACGTGAAGGATAAGCTACCACTGTTGGCCTCATCAATGTGTATCTACCAATTCACTTGCTCGTGTGGAGACAGGTATGTCGGCCGTACCCAGCGTTCGCTTTCCGAGCGTATTATATATTAGTCAGAAAATTGGCATGCACCTCACGAAAAGCATTACCAATAGGCTTCAGACGTTTATCAACAGCTGCCTTTGCTGGCTTCTTATTGAAGATCAAATGACCAGAAGGAGTTAGCAACAAACCAACCATGAACCTATCGTTCAACAAAGATGTAGGAGAAAATGAAGATGGAATGGGTAAACAGTGAGGAGACTATCGAATTGCATCGCGCATCAGGCCCTCGATTGGAAAACCATGAGTGGAGCTTCTAGGGGTGACAAGGAGGAGACTGTGCGTGGAAGATATCAGAGACTATGGGCAATCGTAAGACCAGCTAAAAAGGACCTCAGAGAACAGAGCAAAGTGGAGATGTGCTGTCGAAGCCGTATGTTCCACTCGAAACTCAAGGGAACAATAGTAATATGAAACAGTTGACATTTTGTATGATTACATTTTCATAAATAATTTTCTAACCCCGTTTCCTATATCTTATTCAGAGGATTTATTGCTTCTATGTACTATCAAAGTAAGGTTCACATTTGAAGGCGATTGCTTCCGTCAGGTTGATGGTGTTGCTTTTGGAAGTCCGTTCGGGCTCCTTTTAGCAGATATCTATAACTCGTACACTGGGAGTTTATCGGAAGATCTAAGTGAAAACCTACCACTTTATAGAAGATATGTCGGAGACATTGTAATCATTGTTAGTCTTGTCCTGCTACAAGCACACTATCTCAGGTAGATTTATTTTCTATTTGGGACTATGAATCGCGAATTAGTTTATGTGTTCTGTTAAGACGATAAAAAACTCGAAGCGCCTTATAATCGCAATACCTCCTCTGAGACTTGAGCATATTTACTTTATTTGACGACAACGTAGTCTTTTTACCAATAGTTTTCTGCGAATATCCGCTCTAACTTAGTATTTGAAAGATAGCCTCATATACTCTGTACCTCACAAGGCTAATATCCGGTCTTATCAACTAGAATATACAAACGAATAACGAGGAATAAATTTATTAATGATTTAACATGTAATACAAAATAAATGGCACTTTGGAATTCTTTTTCTTCAGCACCCAACTCCATAAAATCCCCAAAGGTAGCTATAACCTGAAAGAGAAATTAAGCAATTAAAAAGATGTAGACATTGTTACCATTATAAATACAAAATTTAAGTGATAGAAAATGCTAAATAATGCGTTAAATTGTGTATACTTACGTCATCCAATATTTTTCAAACAGACAACGGACATGGCATCTGCCTGTAAAAACCAAATCTATGCAGTATAAGAAGTAAATAACATACGAAAATAATTCCCGAGTATTTTTGTAGATTCCCCTTAAAGAGATATGTGTGGAGGACCTTTGACACCATCACCTAAAGTACACCAAAAAGTAAGTGAAAATAACTAACAAAACGAACTGGCCTACCTCATCATGCCTATGTCTGATCCATTGAAATGCAAAAAACCACTAAAAGTCGTTATAATGTGTCTTTAAGTAATTAGTCATTTTCTTAACGAAACAGTACGCATTTCAACAATTTGTAAACTGGCCGGAAAAGGACATCATCATCGTTTGCTGTTTATGCTAAAAACATTTTATTCCATCGACTTTTAGCAGAAATACAAGCATAAAAGTGTGTAAAACAACGAATAATTACCTAATTTGGAGATTTTTTCAATAAATGTAGCCTATAGACATCAGCTGATCAAATGAACTAAGGCCGTATATGGGCTGCCCAGTAGAATTTATTGGCTGGCTTAAAAATTCCTTAAAAGATGATTCATTGCATTATTGATATAAGTATAAAATTTGGGCACTGTGGTAGAGTATATGATTTTATTTTAATAAACCACATACCCTTCCTTCTGGACTTTCTCACTGGGCAGTCAGATAATTTCCGAATCTGCATTATGATTGGTCACCTACAGTTTGACCTAAGAGTTATTGATTGAAACCACGTTTTCTTCCTCCTGTAATTGGTTTGAACTTTCTAGAATATGATTGGCTGCTTATTCTGATTCGCCGTTTAGTTAGGCTTTAAGTTAACAGCTCAACAGAAAACTGTAAACGTATTCACAAACACTCAGGAATAATGTCCCGCAGTATCATAACACCTGCATTCCCAGTGTCCTCTTTGACCGATTCTTCATACGATGCCGTTCTCCTAGTAAATGATGATGCAGAACATCTACCAGAACCGTTAAAACTCGCTTTGAATGCCTTGGAAAAATTCAGTGAGGTGAGTATTATTGTCGGTGTATCACATATTTAGATTATTCGTTATTACTGTATGGAAATACTATGGATGTAGGCATGAAGTGTTGAAATTGTCAAGTTTGAGACTGGGTTTGAAGTGGAAAACATTCACATAAAATAGGTAGGGAAAAGGATTGGAAGGGAAGCTTCTAGATAGACATCTTCATGAACCATAATTCTGTAGGTGTATCTCCATCTTGAAGTCAGCCACATATGTAACAAGATATGCTGATTGCGGATATTTTGTATTGAAAACAGTCAGCCTATTTGATAAGTTTATATGATAGGACGAGTATGCATTTATGGTATACGTATTGGGTAAACTGACCAAGTAGAGTTAAACAGGATGGTTGTTGTAGGCTCTCATAACTTACGAGGAGTAGAGGGTGGTTGACATTAGATTGTCTGTTTCTGCTTAGACATTACTACCACTTATGTTGAATGGTGTCCAATTCTTAAAATTAGCCTGTGTAGTAAATTATTTTATCCAAGTGACAAGTTTTTTTAAATAGTGCATCCTTGTAACAGCTATTTGGACATCATATTGAGAATGGTTTTCCAAGAGGTAATTGATTTTAAAGTTTCCACTGCAATACATGCTATTTTTGTAAACCTCCACAACTTCCTATTCTAAACTGGTCCCATCAGACATATGGAATAAGCATTCCGTTTATTTTGATACATCTAGTATGATTAAAGTATCCCACAATAAGCTGATTACTGTGTGAGTGAGTCAGTGATTGGTCATTTTGGAACTTTGTACACACGTGAACCAGGTTGAATTACCAAAGTATGGTAAAGCACATAGAAGAAGGCAACATAAATTAAATGAATCTGCTGCGGTCGAAGATGTGTGGGAGAGTTAGTAATTAGGTGGAGCTTAGTCACAATTCTCGGAAATTTGCACATGTCGGTTATCCAGTATGTCTGCACCATTATGAGTGATTTTGAGCATTATGACCGACACTCCTTGACCTTGATTCATATCATTTCGAAGACCCCAGTCAGAGTCATGTGTTTCAGTTTAGTTCTGTAATATAATTTGTTATACTATTCATTTATAATCCATTGTGTTCCACTAACTTAGAGTTTTTGTGGTTTTATTGTTGTTTTCAATTTTATTTATTTGTATGTTTATGAAAGGAGCCAAATTGTCGCAATATATGTAGAAACAATGAGAACTTCATTATGTATGATAATTAGGGAAAGTTTAACAATAGCGTCCCAAAGGATGTGAACGCACGGGTGACCTTCAGCCGACCAATCATAAAAAATGAGGGATTCCTGTACAGTAAAATGACGAATATTTACGAGGAAATGCATGAAAACACATTACTCAGGTCATCTTTCTCTGACATGACTTAAAAGTACGTCCAAGCTATAATGAGGTGTTTCAGTTGCTAAGTTAGACTAGTTTCTTTGCATATATTCACCGAGGTGACTGAAGATGAGCTGGTTTTGTGAATCGTTCATCTTATCCCAAAAGCCCTCGGTTGAATTACTATGGTTTCAATTAAGAGGATCGACGACTACTTACCAGGAAAATGTGGATAAGAAAACAAATGACATCAACTCTAAATCTATTTCTAATCGCAGTGCTAACCTTAGTCCTGACCCTAACCTCAATTACTAACTTTATTTAATTACCACCCTTATCCTGACTGTAAGTTCAACTCTAATCCAAGTTATGACCCTGCTCCTAAGGCTAACCCGAATACTTTCCTTAACCCTAATCCTAAGCCGAACAAGCTATTCACATATTGTCCAAACATCACTTAAAAACTTCATCTGAGTGAAATCTGCTGCTTAGTTGGTGAATAGCGTTGATATTTCAGCTATGATAATGACAGGTGCCGTTAGCCGACGACTTGCATACGTTCAAGGTCATTGGACTTTCGCAATCTTGGGACGATACTGCTGAACTTCTCCTGAAAGTAACTCTTGAGATTAAATTATTGGTACGAATTGAAGCAACTGACCTCATATTAAAGTTAAGTTTCCTATTTGCAAATGTTCCTCATTTTTTTATGATTGGTCGGGTGAAAGTCACCTGTGCGTCCACATACCTTGGGATGCTATTGTTAAACTTCGCTGATAATTATTATTTGGTATAAAGTGTTTATTATTATTATTGATAGTAGTTGGAGGAATATTAATAAGACTCGTATCTGCTTTTTGAATCTGTCTGTAGTTAATCGGTGAGTGAGATGCTGAACGCACGTTTCACACGATCAACAAGCTTATTGTGAATGACAGATAAGATAAGAATGTATATTGAGAAAATAGTGTAGGAAGTAGTGTTCAATCCTGGTTGGTGGACGGGTCGAGCACCATTTTGCAAATATCAGCTATGTACCTGATTTAAACAGTTGCCATGGCGACTAACAAGACAAGAATGACACGTGAAATGAAGTTTGAATGTGCATCACTGTGACTACAAATTTGTTGACTATACTAGTGAGAGATGATTGTGAATTAAATAAAGTATAATTATGTTTCAATAATTTACACACAAAACTTATCATTGTGTAAATTATTGAAATATAACTATACTTTATTTGATCTAATCCACAATGCTAAAACTTTTTACTGATATTGATTATGAATTGATAATGTGCTGTTGAATTGATGAGGAAGTAGGTCTACATTAAGTGAATGATTCTACGAAAGATGTTAGCTTGCCTTCCGTGAATACGAGGTCAGTCACAAAAATTGAAGTGGATACTTTTAAGTGATGATAAAGACGTGAATCATTGCATAAATATGAAAAAAATTCACACAACTCAATATTGTTGAATTTGATGAGGAGAATTGTCTCCACAAAGCTGTGAAAATCAGATTGTGACATTGTAGATATCTCAATACATTCAGTAAATGAATAACATCTTTGCTTTCCTTTGATGATTGGTTGAAGGTGAATCCGAAGTTTTCTGATGAAATCAGTGTGATTCCATTTCCGGAACATCCATCGAAGAGATTGGTGAGTGAATGTTCTGATTTATTTTTGTTTTGTTTTGTGTATGAATGTAATTTATTCTATTTTGGTATGGTTAATTACAAGACTAGTACTAGTGTTTTTTTACGTAAACTGTTTCTTTACTAATAGAAACTAAAGCAATGAATGGATTTCTGTGAGTACTGATGAGCTTCACGTAATGTGTGTTACAGTGATTCCAGCGAATTCCTGAAGATTATGTATTATTTGCTTGATGACACGTTTACAGTTTTCGAAGTGATTTATTCATTCTGTATGTTGATGGCAGTGTTGTACTTAATACTTGGTTCTTCAATAGTCTATGGAAGGGATGTAATTTTTTGAGGGTTAACTTAAGGTGTAGAGTTATTTACTCATTGATGCGAAAGGATTTCAAACTTAATATTTCCCGATTTCCAGGATATGTTAGCCGATCTTAGATGTAATGTAGTCTTTTCCCCACTAGAATACTTATATGTGAAGAAATCTTAGATGAGTTAGAACGAAGTCTCATCAGAAATATATATGTATGTAATAATTCCGTCATTGGTATCTTCAAAAAGAGAAGTTATACGCTATAGCACACGGAGATTTCACTCACTGGCTCCAGTGTGTCTAAACCATCCAGTGAATTAGGAATACAAAATGTTTTCCATCTGTCTTTCAGTAGCTTGTCATTTGTTATGCCATGCACATATTATAAGCTGAAATAAGCTCTACATGAGTGAGGGGATTTCTTCACAAGATAGACTTATTTTCAGCTAGGTAGGTAGAGAAGACGAAATCTGTTGCTTTCATGTACAAAGATTTCAGTCGTAGCTAAACCAGTGCTTAGTCTGCATATCTGTTCCTGAAGAAACCATTATTTTCTGGTATTATATGGCCGGTAATTATTTCCAGGGATTGTAGATATCTGACTTTTGTTCGTGTCTTTCTCAAAAATAAATTGATGCAATTGAGGTTATAAAATATGGATTTTACATATTTGAGAAAAAAAAAGACAACAGCATCTTAATTGAAAAGTCCATGTTTATCAATCTTATTGTAGATGGGATAGATGGTGTTTCGTATTTTAATCCAGGTGACAATTATGTAAATTGTAAGTATTGAGTGTTGTGTGGAACGATTACACACAGAGATATCAAAGAATTAGTGCGGTGATTTCATATTCGAGATATTTAATCCACTTAAACACTTTGAATAATCTTCGATATCAGCTGACACTCATCATTGACTAATTAGCGATCGTTCTGTTTTGTTGTTCAGTTCACATAACCCTTTCTCTTGGTCTAGTGAAAGGTGTAACTTGTGTTTGTGGAATTGTTTTAGATATTCAGTCCAACGGGTCAGTTGAATACAGACGAAGCGGATATACGGAATGTGTATGATGCTGCTGTAGATGGAATGAAAAAGTGAGTCCTGTGAAGATTGTATGATATGGTTTGAACATTTGTGTGATTTGTGAATTTAAGTTGTTGAGTGGATTGAGTCTTTGACGCTGTCTTGAATTTTTGACGTCTCCTGAGTCACATTGTTCATATACTTAGTTAGTTTGTATATAGTTGTCAGACAAATTGACACATTCTTCTAACCAGGTTGAAAACGATGCAATAATATGTGAAGTGATGAAGCATTATGCATTGGGGTTTTTGTTTTGAAGAGGACTGGTAGAACGATGTGAGACTTTTGGTGTAGCTGTCACATTGTTACCTACTTGTCTTTCTTCTATTTCATTCCATATGACTTTATTTGCGGTTAGTTGTTTCAGTGTGTTAGGTAATGTTTAAATCATGAGAATGATGTGTTTTATTGTAGAGTCAATATTTCTTACTATAAGGTGTTCCCCAATCACTGGATTATATTTCCTGGTTCGAAACCATCACAAAGGTTTTAGAAGTTTTAGAAACAAGATGTATTATATATATATATATATATATATATATATATATATATATATATATATATATATATATATATATATATATATATATATATATATATATATATATAGTACCAATACTTGAAAATTAATCTGATGCTCACTAGTGACTGGCTCTATTCAGGCAGTTAACCTGGAGTTCTAGTGAGAAGCCGTGACCAGTAGGGTACAGCAAGCTGAAGATGAGGCAGTAGCTCATCGAAGAAGACTTTGCGAAGTGGTCGCGCTATGTCGTAAATTGGCAGAAGCTGGAATTCAAGGACCATTGGGTCGGGTCCCAGTGGTTCAGTGGTCTACGATTTAGCCTTGTAACCAGGAGGTCCTGGGTTCGAGCCCCGGTGGGTGCGTACTGCTGAGGAGTCCCAAACTAGGCGGATGGAATAGCTGTCCAGTACTCCCAGGTTTTCCAGTGATTCTCTAACTGATGTCAGCTCATGGTGAAATCCTCAGTGCAATGGAACAAAATCCCTATAAAACCAATACTTGGAAAAAATATATATATATATTCAGCAGTAGTGATTGTATATGTTTTGTGGAAGCACATCATATCTGACTGACTGACTGCTTCCAATAGAGAACTTTGCACAGATGTGCTGCAGTTCGAGTTGCCACACTCCCTCCTTGTAGCCCACAAAGCAAGAGAATGGAGTTAAAGATAGATTCAAAAGACAGTCGATAAACAGAAGTTTGAGGAAAAAAGAATAGTGGTGTGGAAGAACAATAGAGCTTAATTGAATATTACAAATCACAAAGAGTGAATGCTTCTGGGAAATAAATGACTATTTTGGGCCTTATCGCCACTTATCTCCAGCCATTGGTTTTCACCATCGCGAGAACCTCAACCCGAAAGCCTATACCTCCCTACGTGGCTGGCTTAACCTGATTGTTATGGACTTCATTGACTGATGCCATTTTTGGTCTGACCATCCCTTTACTGTTTTCTAACCTGGTCCATCCTATGTCAGCTAACACTTCCCACTGTCGAGGAAACATGACCAATACGCGTTGAAGACATGAAAAGGTTGACTGCTTTCGATCATAGATGTCTGCGATCTCTGTCTCACGTTAGGTGGTTTCACAAGATAAGTAATGTTGACGTTAGGCGTAGAGTGTTGGGTAAAGAGGGAAAATCAATCGACGAGGCTATAAAGTTACATAGATTGAGATGGCTAGGTCACGTGCTGCGCAGGCCTAACCATCGCCTCCCCCGACGGGCATTACTAGCTGATATAGGTTCAGGTTGGAAAAGAGTAAGTGGTGGCCATACAAAAACATGGCATGGCACCAATCCATGAAATCCTTGACAGTTAAACTGAGTCAGGTAGGGAGATGCAGACTCCCGGGTTGGGGCCCTCGGGACTCTAGGAATCAATGGCTGGAGACAATAGGTGACATGGCTGAAAATCGTTGTCAATGGCCAGCGCAGATGTATTCAGTCTCTGTAATCTTTCATATTCCTTTCTACCGTTACCCATTCTGTTTCACTCTTATACTTGTCAGACTGTATTGATTCTCTTCACTCATCTTCTTGTCTACCTCTGTGTGCTATTTGGAACGTGGCAACTCGAACTGCTGCACTTGGGTGCCAAGTTCTATGTTGAATCCAGACAGACAGAGACAGACTGTCGAGGAAGGCGATCTATGACTAGACATGCGTAACACATTGCCTAACCGTCTCAATCGATGTAACTTCACAACTTAGTCAACTGATTTCCCCTCCTTACCTAACACTCGACGCCTAACCTCAATATTGTTGACTCTATTGTTCCACCTAACCCGGGTGATAGAATGCAGTCACCTGTGATGAAAGACAGCTAGCCTTTTCATATCTTCCACTTCCAATGACTGTGTCTCACACCCAGAAAGGGGGACGGAGCAGACTTCTAAGCAGCACAAATGCTCTTTAGTCGACAGCCAGCCGGATATCACCCCAGAGATGGCGTAAGTTGGTGTATACCAAGCGAGCCTCCTGTATCCGTGCTGAGATTTCGTCAGCGATCGATCAACCCGATGGTGTTGGCCGATGCAACTTCCCGAATGAGTGAAGTGGTCAACACGCTCCACCAGCCACTTCACTCTGTATCTTCAGTCTAGAAGTCGATGTAGTCCAGTGCTGTAGCACCATCCTACGTTTTATGGGAGCGAATCGCATGACAAACATTCGAAGATTACTGTTCAAGGTGCTCAGAATACTCTGCTGTATTTTGTTAGCGTCTTCACCCAGGGGAAGGACTATATCATCTGCATATTCGAAGTTGATTAGATTATTCTCCGGTGGTAAGAAGTCACTTCATGAGTTTATGAAGTCAGGGTTAAGTCCATTAGTACGATATCTATGATGAAATTATGAAGAAGTGGGGACAGTGAGCATTCCTGACGGACATCACTCATTGTGACCACTTCTTTAGATGAAAACTTTCTGTAAGCTCTTAGCTGGTTGTATGAGTTCGAGTTGAGTGCCTTGATCAGTGCACTGTATTTTTTTCGGAACTCCTTTCACAGCCAGACATTGTCATAGTACCTTTCGGTTGACGGAATCTAATGTCGCTTTTAGGTAAAGAAATATGACGTTTGTTGGACGCCGGTAAGTATGCCTGTGTTCCAGAATCTGTTGAAGGATGAAGATATGATCAATAAACCCTCTTCCTTGTCTACAGTCTGTCTGGTTCTCTCGTGTTTGTTCCTTCCAGTACCACTTAGTCTACGCATGACTGTTAAGCCTAGGACCTTAAATATCATATTGGTCAAGCCGATCCTCCTTTGATTACCGCAAGAAAACTTGTCTCTCTTCTTGTATACCTGAATAACCAGTAGCATACACCAGTCCGATGGGATTATCTTTAACTCCCAGGCAGTAAACTGTCTCCACCATCCTTAAACATCTCAGGAGTCATTCCATCAGGTCCGGCAGCTTTGCTGCGTTTGAGACTGGGGGAAAGTATTTCTAACCTCAGTTAGTGACGGAGGGACGGTGTTGATATCCCATTCAGGGAGGTGTTGAATGCTCAATAAGTTGAGCATGGCTGTAGTCTAGCTAAGTTGCTTAGAGTTTTTGTCAGTTAGCGTTTAAACAGCTTTTCCTCCTCATCCTAATCGGACCTCGCCCGAATCAATTCTGATGGGGTGATAGAAATCCAATGGCTCTTACTAACTTTAGGTTTTAGGTTATTAACAGCTTTTACAGCTGTGTCTACAGCTAACTGTCTATTGTGCCAGGTTTCCTCAAAAGGAGTCTTGCTGTCGACCTCAGATACTCGTTTGGCTACTTCTTCCTTAAATAAGGACTCAAAGTCTCGATGTAGATGGGGACATAACTGCTTCACCGCCAACAATTTTTTATGTCCGTTTAATCGTAAGCTTAAACGCGCGCGAACCAGAACGTGACCGGAGGCTATGCACGTGTTGTAGAAGGAGCAGCAGTCTCCTAATGACCCTCACCAGTGATAGCCTATCGCTATATGGTCTGTTTGAGTCCAGCGTTGATTTGGTGATGGAGGCCGCCAGGTTAGGCAATGTCTCTTTGTGCCTAAAGTTAGTGCTGATTAGCAACAGATGATTATCTGAACAGAACTGTAAAAGACAATCACCGTTGTTGGTTCGTCTTCAGGGAACTCCGTACATACCACCTATTTACTTCTCAGTCTGGCCTAAATTCCCTACATGGGCATTGAAGTCGCTGCCAAAACATCTATGTCTGATCGTTTTGCTTTTCGCAACAAACCAGACAATTTTTGGCAGAAATCTTCCTCCAGTTAATCGGAACTGCAGTCGGTCGGGGCGTAAGCGGAGACTATGAAAAGACAACGACGATTAACGTCGTCCTTTCTTCTTCTAATGGACCTGTCTGAATGGACTACACACATACGACCATCTACTGGGATTCAGTCAAGAAGTGGTTTTTCTACCCTAACACTCACTGCTATTCCTACACCTGCAAATCGTCACGAACTAGCTGAAGAATCTCCTGACACCTTTAAGGTGGTTGGTCGGGTAGAGTTAAGTGAATGACTACATTCGTGTCTTCTATGTGCTTCTCCGGAACACAATATACATCTATGACTGGAGATACCAAAGTTCCAGCTAGTGATACCGGTTGTCCGATTTGGTAGAGTCCCTACGTTTAATGCTTTAATATGAAGTTGGAGGAGTAGCTTTAAGAGACTATCAGGAGTGTTTTTCTGGCTCACATCGCTATTTATGGTCACAGAATGAAATGAAGATGACTAGCCAACCTGTAGAACAGTATTAACAATAGTTAAGAAACAAGATAATTGTGATCTGGATAAAAGAGGATGATGATCAGGAAGGCTTCGTGTGCCTTTGGAAGTATGTGGGCGGTTGTTACTTCCCGGCTGCCTACACTGTAGGAGTTGATTTTTCTCGGGGTACCTGAAACAGAAACAGAATAATCGGTACGTGACTGCAAAGCCCAGGACAAAAGTGCTTGAAGTCGATCGTACAAGGCATGTTTGAACTGACTTTTAGGATTGGTTACGTATTAGTAACTTACCACCGGCTGCGGACAACTGTAGAGTAAGTCGGGATGTACATTTTTGGGGTCGACCTTTTTTAACTACTACTTTTTAGAGTGGACAGACAGCATAGTTAGCATGCTCGTCATATCAGGGAAATACCTTACTGCTGTTATATCCCTCTACCCCGGCTATACAGCTATACCCACTGACCCCCAGCCTAATGTAAAAAATCTAACACTATGCTGGCAGCTGCCCTAAGTCTAATCGCTGTCCTAGCAATCTTCCTGGCATGGTCGAATCTGAGAGACTTAATTTCCAGTCGGTGTTTTATTGTTGAGTGACTGCGATATGCAAGTCTGACCACCGCTCCAAGGTAGCAGCTATCAGTTGGTTATCATGTCATATTAGAGTTCCACTGGTTATCGTTTCTGGGGACATGATAATAAAAATGAAGTTGTTGCGATATCACTCTACCTCACCAACATCTGCTGTCTATTATGGATTTCACTGATGGCATTTTGACTTTCTTTGACATTATTTTCAGTGGAGTAAAAATAAACTAATGAGTAAACAAATACCAGTTTCAGTCAGTGTGCTTCGGTGGTTCGGCGGTAAGACGCTAGTCAACCACGTATGAGCCCCGAGGTTCGATTCCCAGCCGACATGCTTTTGAACCTCGCCAAACCGGAAATAACGTCTATCTGTCCGTTTTCGACATAGAACGTACATATGTGCGGCAGTTCAAGTCGCCACACTCCCTCCTTGTAGCACACAAAGCAAGAGAAGAAAGTACAAGAAATGCATAATAGAGACAGTAAACAGAGTTGTGAGACAAAGGAATAGTAATAACGAAGAACAAAACAGTTTCATTAGAGATCATAAGTCACAAGGAGTGGATGCATCTGCGCCATTGAGAACAATTTTGAGCCATATCACCAACTGTTTCCAACCATTGGTTTTTACTGTCCTGAGGACCCCAACCAGGAAGTCTACACCTTCCTACGTGTTTGGCTTAAACTAAATGTTGTAGATTTCATTGACTGGTACCATGTTTTTGTTTGACCGCCGCTAGCTCTTTTCCAGCCTGACCCTATGTCAGCTAACATTGCCCGTCAAGGAAGGCGATGACTAGGCATACGTAATACATGTCCTAACGATCTTAGTCGATGTAATTTCACAGCCTCGTTGATTGATTTCCCCTCCTTACCTAGCACTCGACGCCTAACCCTATTATGCCACTTCACATGGGAGATAAAGCGCAGGCACCTATGATCGAAGACAGCTAATCTTTTCATGTCTTCCACTCTCAGTGACCAGGTCTCACAGCCAGCCATAAAGGAGGACGCGCGGACTGATGAGCAGTACACCCGCCCTTTGGTCGATAGCTAGCTGGATATCACGTCTACGCCACAGACGGCGTAAACTGGCGTATGCGAAACTAGCCCTCTGTATCCGTGCTGAGATTTCGTCAGAGATCAACCCGTTGGGGCTCATGGTACTTCCCAAATAAGTAAAACGGTCAACATGCTCTACCACTTCACTCACTGTTTCTAAGCTAGGAGTCAGTGTGGTCCAGTCCTGTTACATCATCTTGCATTTAGCGGGAGCGAATCGCATGCCAAACATTCGTAGGTTGTAGCTCAAGGTGTTCAAAAGACTCTGCATTTTGTCAGCGTCCTTGCCCAGAAGGACTATATCGTCTGCATATTGTAAGTCAACGAAATTATTCTCTGGTAGCAAGTCAATCCCTGAGTCTTTGAAGTGAGTTAGGGTTAAGTCCATTAGTACATCTATGATGAAGTTGAGTAGAAATTGGGAAAATGGGTATCCTTGACGGACACCACTAGTCGTCACCAGTTCAGACGACAGCTCGCCGTAAGCCCTCATCTGGATGCATGAGTTCGAGTAGAGTGTCTTAATCAGTGCAATTTATTTTCTCGGCATTCCCTTCAAGGCCAAGCATCGCCAGAGTAACTCTCGGTTGATAGAATCGAATTCCGCATTTAGGTCAAGGAATATAATGATTGTTGGACGCCGTTAGGAATGCCTATGTTCTAGAATCTGTCGAAGGGTGAAGGAAATAACCTCGGTAAACATGGAAGGTCGGGAGCTACACTATCAACTCCAACCAAAAGAAAATAAAACTACTGCTTGCAGCTTGAAGTCCTATTTTCCACTCGGAACGTTATGGAATAAAATAAAGTGTCAGTCATTCAGTCAGTCAGTAATACTAAGCCAACTTGAATCTTTGGCTGTCTGTGGTTACATATATGCTTTTAATGACACGAATTTGGACTTTAATGTAAATACACTAGCTGTATTCTCTCTCGTTTAGATTGTTAAAGATTGGTTGCAAATCGCCGTTATTATGTTGTGGATCATTAGTCTCAGCTCCAAAAGAATTTCAGTGGACAGATCGTAGTTGTCTATTGTTGAACGCTGTTCTGGGAGCATATCACGCACTGTATACGGTAAGTATGTGTATGAATAATTTGACTCGTATCGGTTTATGATATCTATGAAATGAGCAATGAATCCAACTGACAAGGGTCTGACGATTGGGTTAAAAACTTGAGGAGAGTAAACTAATGCGAATGTATCAGCATTATGAAGAAGTAGACAATAGTAGTTTGTAGTGGATTCATTAGTGGAGCGTGATAGATGGTGATTACAGAGAGTAGCAGCCTCTTAGTTCAGCTTTGTTTGATGTGCAATTTCATTTCTCTTCCTCCCGAGTACTTCTGGGTCGTCAATTCTGTTGTGAATTCGTGACATCCCTGTCATCCGTGGGCGATGATATCTGAAGAGTTTGTAACTGGACAGATCATGTGTCCAGTAACTTTTAATATTCACAAAGATTCTCTTAAACCATGGCTGTTTGTCATTAAATATGCCTTAGTTCACCAATTTAACCTAATATTTCAGCGTAAAGTTTAGTCACTAATTCGTGAGGTTGAAGAATGTTTTTGAATTGATGCATTTTATTTCTGATATCTGTAACACAGCCTCTTGAAGTCCGTGAAATGGTTCCTGAAAAGTTTCCCAAAGCATTACGATTTGGTGTGATGGAGGCGGACGAGCGTTTACTAAACACCGCTATGGCTATTGAAGAAGGTCGAATAGTCGCACGCGATATCGGTGGGTCAGATCCAGAACGAATGGCGGCTCCGAAGATTGTGGAGTATTTGGAGAATGCTTTGAGTGGTCTTACTGGTATAAAATGACAGTGGAGAAGGTTGATGCGACGAAGTATCCGTTGATGGCAGCTGTCAATCGAGCTGCATCAGGTAATCGACTTACTTTGTTGGTGTGTTTTTTATATCAGGTTTTATGAGTAATGTTGTGGAGTTGTGTGCAGTCAAATCGCCTTGTGATTTTGTGTCAATGAGAGTTTCTATTTTGAATATTTAGTATTTATTTGATTGATATTTGATATTGTAATTTTATAAACTGGATAAGCTATCAGTTTTATTTGGTTGATGTTATTTTGGCTCATCCTCTGAGTAAGGTAAAATCTATTTGATGTATTTCTGTGGTCGTGAGAAGCTCTTGTGTAGGTGTGTTTGAATGTAATCACGTAGTTGATGTTAAATGGATGGCTGATTGTTGTAGGCGGTGAACTGTCAGAACTGGTGTTGTGAACACAGAATGCATTCCATGTGTTTCGTTTATCGTTCTGCCGATGTCACCTAGATAGTTTTAGAGTCTTCTCTCAGACAGTTTGTTGTGAGTTTCAGGGCTACTCAATTGACTTCTGTGTGGACATGCATGTATTATGATCAGATTCGAAAACTTGAATACAGCTTGCGACTGAATAAATCGGTATGTATTGAATTTCCGTTTAATCTGCCTGACATGTCATGCCAATTTTCAGTTAACTGTTATTCTTATAAAAGTTTTTGTATTTCCCAATGAATGAAAAACAAAACGATATTATTGTTTTTACTGATGTTTCGCTGTTTAATCCTGCTGCTAATAGCTTTATCAAAGTAGTATTAATAAACCAGAATTTACAAAATATCTGCTTATATATAGCAACTTAATCATTGTTCTTCAGCATGGGGTAATTTTTGCGTTGGCAAGTTGGCCAATTAGCAAAGATGAAGAAGCCAAGTATAGATTGTTGGATTCGAGAAGTGTAGAGAATTGTAAAAGCAGCATGTGTTTACCTAGTGATTTTAGATAATTTTGTCTGCAGTGATCGGAGTCATGGAAGAGACATGTTTGTCGTGTACACTTGGATGGATGTCCCTGTCGCTGTATAGTTTACTAACAATAACGTATGATGGTAACTCTTCTAGTGTTTCAAATGTAGAATAAATATTAACGTCCTTCGATTTTAGAGCTTCAGATTATTTTTCATGACTTTTCACAGATTACTGAACTAACTACAAGTTCTATTAGTGTTTTGGTAAAAACGAAATGAAATTATTCTTGTTATCTTTTTGTACTTAAAGCTGATCATCGATGTACTCTTTTTGTGGGGTTTTCAATTTCCGAAAACTTTGCAAAATTATATAGTGTAATAGGTAATGAATCGGACTTTAGAGTGGCGATAACATATTCTTGCTGGGACTTCACGGTGCAATGCGTCTGTGAATATTTTTTATCATCACAGTTTTTATCCAAGGGTGATCATACACTCCAATGAGTGTGCTTCATAAGTGTTATGTCAAACAATTTTTTTTCTTCTTGGACCGTTGAATATTCACCATATAATTTTCAAGGTTCACACTTGTTTTTCATCCTTGCTTTGTTCCTTCTTACTTGTCAGTTGTTCCTCGTCATGATGGAAGGGTCGTTCACCTGGACTATACACCTCCTAATGCAAAGGAGATCGACACATCGTTGTTCCTTGTCGGTAAAGGTATCACATATGACACTGGTGGTGCTGATGTGAAACCAAGTGGGAATATGGCTGGAATGCATAGAGACAAGTGTGGTGCAGCAGCGATAGCTGGTTTATTCAAAACTGTTGGTTTGTTGCAGCCTGGTGGGTTGAGTATATCAGCTGGATTGGCCTTCGTACGAAATAGTGTTGGAGCTGAATCTTACGTGGCAGATGAGATCATAGTTGCACGTTCTGGACAGCGTATTCGTATTGGGAATACGGATGCTGAAGGTCGAATGGTTATGGCTGATTTATTGTGTGAAGCCAAAGAAAAGGTGTATGATTTTAAAATGAAGTTGGTTGTATTCTTTGTTTCAGCTAGAGTTTTTTCTATGAAAGTTCATATCTCCATATTTTCACCTAATAGCGCTACTTGTTATGCGTTTATAACTTGGGTTGTTGAATATATGTTGAAAACCAGGGATGACAATATTTCAGATAACATTCACATTCTATAAACCTCTATGAAAAGCATAGAAATAATAAATGAATAGGAATGTGCTCGAGGAATTATATGAATTTATTTGTGGTGTTGAAAGTTGAAAGTGTTTAGGAAATGAAGTGTAGTGTGTTAGAAGAATGAGAAACGAACGGCGCCACCATGTTTTTGTTGTTCAGCTAATGAGTGTAGCTCACAGGCTGATACATGAAAAGGTGTTCTGGCAGCTGAATTGTAACAAATAATGTTTGATGTAATATCAAAGAAGGGAAATACTTACTTTGTGCGTAAAATCAGACATCTTCCCATCAATACATTGAGTTTCTACTATCTCGTCAAAGTAGCCTATTAGGTAAACAGGTGCGTATTCGAACAGTTAACAAGGTTGTATTCTGTTCATCCATAGTGATTAGTTTCTTTTTGTAAGCCTTGAGCTGGAGTCTTGTGAGTTGACTCAATTCAGTAGGTAAGTAATTTGTTGTTTTTGAGTAGACTGTCATAATTTCGTCTGTGGTGTAACTGGTATAAATCTGGTGCTGAGAAAACTTGGTTTTCATATGGAATTTATTGGTATAAATATATTGAATATGATAATAAAAATGAAGATAAGATTTCTCTTTTTTGTTGCAGGTTTTCTATTATATATATTATCTTGGGATTGGGTAAATTTTCCAATGAATGTTATACATTTACATTTTGTATCATTTTTTTATTTGTAGGCTCTGAAGGCGACGAATCCATTTTTGTTTACAATGGCTACACTGACTGGGCATGTAATTCGAGCATATAAACACTATACGGTTAGTCTTTCTTCTACTTCTTTGTTGATTATGTTAACCTGTCCTGTTTGTGTATATGGAGCTCTATCTGATGGATAAAGGCATTCAACTGGCGATATGTTCCACGCTTATCAGGTAGATTATAATTGTTGTAGGCTGATAGGCTATCTTGTGCTACTGACAAAAACTTACACGTATTATGTTTTTGAGGTGTTCGTCGAGAATGTTGAATAGCAGAGCACAGGATAGAAATGAAAATCACGCTAAAACAATAAATAAAGTGTGAAGTGAAGACGAGAGAATCAAAATTCGAAAATATTTTGCAAAATCAAAAACTCATTAAGAAGGATTTTCTTTTTTGCCAAGCAAACAATTCTCACTCTAAATACCATTGTGTCTGTCGGTTGATGGTTGAAATTTTGTATACATTGCCATATATGCTGAGTTAAATAAGATAAACATACTAACCTGTCATCTACACTGAATGCAGCTAATTCACTGGAAATAAAAACAAGTCAGAAGAAAGTGAAGTGTAACTAAACTAAGGAGTGTGATACCAACCCATGAAGCAAGTGACTCCTATCGCTAGTCTTGTAGAAAGGTGCAGATGTCTTGATTTGGATTTATGTGATGACCTCAATCTGCCTTTCAAGACTGGGTTATGTGACTCTAAGCCAGTTGTAATTAACGAACACTTTTTAAAACCGTATCTTCATGTAGATATGGTATGAAGTTATGCTTGTTTAGTTGTCTTGCCCTTCCCCCTTTCTTCTTATGATCACCTAGGACGATTGACCATTTTGTATCGCATGCTTTAGTCTTGTGTTCTATTCTCTCCTAGATGAGCAAATCAAAGATGTGGTAACTTGAACTTCTACAGAATCCTATGTTCATAACATCTATCTATGAAGGGGATAAGCTGGAGTGCTGAAAGAGGTGATGCATAATATATACATACAATACTATGATTTAGACTAGTTACCTACTTCAGAGTCTCAGACATGTAGCACTCGTCGCTGACATCCTGTGAAGTTGGTGAAGTGTTCAATATAAATTCTGTGAAACAGTATACAAAATATTCTCCCTCTTATTATTAGAAGTGTTCTGAGAAACAGGACTTGCAAATAGACCAGAAGCCAAGTTCAACACTCAAAAGCTGAAGGACCAAGATACAAAGGACATCTTCATTGCAGGCGTAAGGGACAAAGCCGAGACAAATCAACACTAGCGAAGAAGTCGGCGTCGAAAAGCACTGGGACAACCTGAAAACGGTATGGAGTCAAACCTGCATGGAAGTTCTAGGCAGGAAGAAGAGGCAGGACAAACAGTGGCTCACTGCGGACACTTGGAAACTAATAAAAGAGAAGGATAGTGAAACAAAGGATTATCCAGTGCAGCGATGAGCAACAAAAACAGGATTTGAATGCAAGCTACAATACACTGAACAAAAGAGTAAAGAAGAGTGCCAGGTAAGACAAAAGAAAATATTATGAAGCCATGTCAAGTGAAGCACAACAAGCTGCAGGCAAAGGCGACCTCGCCACACTCTACCAAACAACTAGGAACCTGTCGGGAAAAAGTTCAACACAAATTAAGCCAATGAAGGATGACAATGGAAAGTCAGTCAGCAAAGAAGTATAGCAAAGAAAACACTGGGCTGAACACTTCAAAAGACTTCTAGATCGACCGTCACCTGCTACGCGCCCAACGATACCAACAGCGGAGGCATCAACAGTGGACATCAACCCTCCGACGAGAACAGAAGTCCTGAATTCAATCAAGATGCTAGAAGCGGGAAAAGCAGCAGGGCCAGATGGAATCCCAGCAGAAGCATTGAAAATGGACCCAGAGACAACAGCGGAGTTGATGACGCCACTGCTGGAGAAGGTGTGGAAAGAGGGCAAGGTACCCGATGATTGGAAGAAAGGATACTTATTCAAACTACCAAAGAAAGGAGACTTAAGTCAATATAAAAACTAGCGCGGAATTATGCTCCTGTTCATCCCAAGCAAAATACTAAGCCGCATCATCCTGGAGAGAATCAAACAAGCCCTGCATTCCAAGTAATCCACAACGAGAAACTTACGGAATCCTTCGAAGTGAAGACGAGAGTAAGGCGAGGTTGCCTACTATCGCCAATGATTTTCCTGATTGCAGTAGATTGGATAATGCGACAGGCAGCGGGCACCGAGGAAACAGGCATTAAATGGACCCACATAAAAAACTTGTAGGATCTGAACTTCGCCGATGATATATGCCTGATTTTCCAAAAACTGGAAGATATGCAAGTGAAAATTTTTTTTAGATTACACCTTGATTCCACACCGTAATTTTTGGTACATGTATGGAATTTTCAGCATGTGATATCGGTAGCCCAAATTTTGCGGGCCGACCATAAATATCAGGTGTGCGTTGGCAGGGGTCGGACCCCGGACCATGTGCATGGTCGACGAGAGTCCTAAACACTATGCCACCGACGGAACAAGTTTGCAGAAGAAGCATCAAAGGTAGGACTCCAGGTGAACATAGAGAAAACAGAGAAGATGAAGATTCCTGGCCAACAGCAACAACAGACAACAATCAGCATCAAGAGGGAAAAACTGAATGTGAAAGAAGCAACCTCCTTCACCTACCTACCTACTTGGGAAGCATCGTTTCAATTACAGGCGGGACTGACGAGGATACAAGGCAAGGATCGAGAAAGCAAGACAAGCTTTCATTACTCTTAAGTCTGTGTGGAGGTCAACAACACTCAGCTTGAAAAATGAGATCCGGATTTTCAACTCCAGTGTAAAGTCAGTGCTACTATACGGATCAGAGACTTGGTGCGTCATAAAGAGCATCTCAAACAAACTACAAACTTCAGCAACAGGGATCTCTGGGAGCGAACCAACTAGGCAGGAACCGATTGTGAAACAAATAGGCAGGAAGAAATGGAGATGGATTGGCCATACACTGAGGAAACCATCAAGTGACATCACTAGACAAGCCATCGCTCGAGTGGAACCCGAAAGGGAAGCGGCTAGTTGGTCGTCAGTTCAAGGGTGACTTGGAGGTCATGTGAAGAGGAGATGAGAGTATATGGGCAGATGTGCAGCCAGGTGAAAACGTTAGCAGAAAACCGAACGCAATGGAGACACGCGCCTGAAGCCCTATGTTCCCCTAGGAATTAAAGGAAATAATAATAATCTTATTAGAAGTGTTCTGAGAAACAAATGACTGCTCCTCTGTGTATAAATTTCGTTTCAGGTTCACGAAACTAATTTTGAATAATTCAAGAATTTCTCGATTAATACCAGGCATTGCTTAATGTTACAGTTTCAATAAATGAGGGATCATCCATCCATGCACTATTCATTACTCACAGTTATGCTTCGAAACTATTCTCCCATTGAACTCACTTCGTGTTATTATTATTTTTAATGATTTGTGTGTACATATCTAACAAACAGGCTGTAATGGACAATGGACCAGCACGAGTGAAGAAAGTCTCTCAGGAACTACAGAGTGCGGGTGATTTAATCTCAGATGTTGTAGAAGTGAGTGTGTTTTATTGATGAATTGTTGTGAAAATTGATTTGAGTGTTTGATAGTGGCAGTTGTGTGGTTGTGTGTATGTCCAAGTGTGGTAAGATGAGGTAGGTGTGTTCAGGTGAATGAGTTAATAATTTATCGAGAATGAATTAGGATATGTGAATGAAGTAGATGGAGTCATTTTGTGAAGCTACATAATCCCGTGTATGCAGATAGATAGACAGCATGTGAGATTGTATTTCTGGTGAACGTGAACACGTTTTAGGTTTTGTGTGAGGAATATAGTGTTGAAGAATGTGATGAAAATGTGGATGTTAAGAGAGGAAAGTAACGAAAGTGATGAGATAATGTCAGCTCATGATGAAATCTTGAGACCAACCAAATCCCTACAAACCAACACTTAAAGATGAGATAATTATTAAATATGTAAGGGAGATATTCATTGCTTTACGATTAGTTGAGTGATTGGAGCAAATAAAGCTGTCAGTCTAATGTGCTGTGATGGGATGTCACTCCATATTAGATACGTTTATTCGACATGACGCACATTGATTCAGTGTTAACAAGTGGGTGGCATTTCGAGCACATTTTATTGCTCCTATTCTCAGGAATACATTAATTATACTCAATAACGTGGTTTTTAAGCAATTTCTATTGTTATCATCCACATATCTGGTATGGGCTAAAATTAGTGTCTCGTTTATTGCAACGAATAACCCCACAGAAACAAACTTTGTTGGATTTAGGACCTGATGGATCCAATTTGGTAAATTAATACAACCTACTAAACCCTATGTAATGATTACGACATCAGTTACATATGTCAAACTGGTTAGTGGAATTAGATTATTAGATTCATATCAACTGTGGTCAAGATTTGACCGGATAAATCAAATGAATTGTAGTCAAGATTTAACAGAATAGTTCTAGTAAATGAAAAATCCTCATATTGAAATCAAAACAAGATTTTGAGCGAACAATTGTTTTCGATAACTTCTTCTTCAGGCTCTACAGTTATAAATCCATGAATAATAGAGTACATATAGCCAGTAAAGGCAAATGAAAATAATATCAGAAACTGTATTGGGGTGCATGTGTAAGTTGAGGTGATAGTCCATTAGTTAGCATAGTCAATTAAATGTGTATAGGGTGTTTAGTCAGAAAAATGTGATGAAGTGTGAATGAACAATTAGGTGATATAGTGTAGTTTTATAGTTAACAGAATACAAGTGTCCTTGGGGTGAGAAAATGCGATAACCACAAAATACATGTAAAGACACGTTAAAAAATGAGGCACTGGATATGAGGGCTGACCGATAATGTCTAATGATAAAATAAAGGGGCTAAATTGTAAATTGTAATAAAATGCTACAGAATTGGTAGGTATAGTATAAAATCATAAAGGTTGACAAAGTAAGGGTAACAATGAGGTGAAATAAACTGGGTGGAGAAATGGATAATAAAGACATGATATCACAAAATAATAATAATGATAATAATAGTACGAAAAGATTATGATCCTGGTGACCTTATAGTGGGCCAGGGTAGACAAAGAGAGTGAATAAGTTTTTTCTGTACACATAGATCTGGTCTTTCTCTATTAATCTCTAAAGCCTCAGCTATGGCTAGGAGGCGTAATCGTGTGCCTTTGGGGAGATTGTTCGGTACCCGATACGCAACTGTAAATGACTCATCTACTTTGATGCTGTTTCGCTATCCACTAGATGAGACAGAATTGCACTATTAATTGATTTGGTTGTTCTTTTGCCAAGCCAAACAGGAATATGTTCACGAGTGCGTAGAGATAAATTCCTCTGGGTACGACCTATATAATAGTTCTAAAATATTTGGGCGCCGAGTGAGAAGTAGACATTTGTAAAAAATTATATTTGTAAAATCTCAGCGAAATTGAAATGAGTAATTCCAACGTTTCGTTTGGCAATCTGGTCCGAACTTCATCAGGGAGATTAATCGAAATTAACATAACAAAGGTGTATATGTAAAAGGGACACCTTATTTTTTAAAATTTTGTCCAGTCATGAGTCATGCAACAGGTATCAACATGATAGAGGTTTTTTGTATTTCCCAATGAATGAAAAAACAAAACGAGATTGTTTTTACTAGGTTTTTACAGGTATCAACATGTATAATAAATAAATAAATAGAATTGTATGTTTACATACAAAGTACATCTCTTGTTTTTAAATATGAATCAAGAAACAGCTATCAATGGGTATACTAAACAAAACAAAAATTGTATGAACTATGATCCAAAATTTTTCTGACCTCAGACTTTCAAAATTAGTCTACTTTTGTTAAAATATATGTGTATATGCAGTATACAATGGTGTGTGTGTGTGTGTGTGGGTGGGTGGGTGAACAGTCATAAAACATTTGCTATTCTCATATGAGCTGTGATCAAGATTTGACCAGATAGTTGCAAAATAATTGAGATTTTTATAAATTTGTTATTCTCTCCATAAGAAGACGTAGACAATCGGGAATTTTGACCAAGTGTGACTACTTGTTCATACATATCAAATTTTATTTATTAGAGGTTAGGAATTCAGGTAGAAGTGGAATGGTTGGTCCTGATAAATCAAATAATCTGGGGGAAAAAGCTCGGCTGTTGCAATGCATCCACTTGCATGTAATCACTCAAGTCAACATCAAACATGTACAATAGAAATGGCGGAACGCCTCTAGTGGATATATGGAAGATCACAGTAAAAAACTAATGGGAGTGAAATTATGTAAAGCAATTTATGAAGTCGTCTGAATACATTAGTATGAATATGAGCAATAAGTTGTGCTCAAAATGTCGTCCAGTTATTAATAATTTATCACTGTGTGTTGTATCTAATAAAGAACCTTCAGTTTTTGTATCCTATATCGCTACCCTGTAACATAAGGCTCACTATGTCTGACATCTTCAACATTCAAGGAATTCTTGTTGACAATAAACGTCTTATGATAAATTAGTACGATCTAGTTATGAATCTAAAGTTAATTAAACAATATGTTTGACTTTAATGCTACGAAGCACTTATCAATAACTTCTCATGTAAACAATTTTCCCTGTATTATTATTTAAGATTTCAACTCTTCGTAAAGAAGACTATGCCATGAACAAGCCTAAAAGTGAATATGAAGATTTGATACAATGTAATAACTTACCAAGCAGTGCTACACCTCGTGGTCATCAGATGCCAGCTGCATTTCTTGTTGTCGCCAGTGGTTTGAATAAGGTGAGTGTTTTCATTCTGTTGGCGTTTTTAACACAAGTTTAACGTGTTGAACAATGACACACATGGACTAGGGAAAACAATGTACTATAAGGACGCTTTTATGAATTACCATAAATAATTTTAACTGATCTCCAGCAAATATGCTATCGTTATTCAAGACTATCACGTTCCTTTATGTTTATCCATTTGAAAAATTACCAAGTTACTTCTTTATAAATAGAATGGAAATTTTGTGAAGTTATAGGTCTCACACTTCTGTAATTATGGAATCAATGTGATTGGAGAATAGCAGAAATGTGTCATGAAATATTTTCTTCGGTTATTGTATTATATTCCAATAGTAGTCTGAAAGTATTGTGCGTCATTATGATTGAAACATTTTGTTTTGGACAAAGACCTGGGACTATAGTTGGTGATGGTGTTCTTTTGCTGTTTCTTTCAAATATAGTTAAATTGTTTAAATTACAGTTGAGTCATATTAATATCTAAAGGTTATTTGTAAGGATATAATGAACTCCAAGTGTTGACTATTTAAATAATTCGGCCTGAAACTGGCAGGTGAATCATTCTTTTGCCATTCAGATGGCTAAATATATATTTTAGGATCTACTGCCTCATCATGTCTATCTGTAGTCCTTAATATTCTGTATTGAAATTATCAACACTGGTTGTTTTTACAGTTCAATTGGTTTATTCAACATCGTGTAGATTTATACTATTTCTTTCAGTATATGATAATCTAAAACAGTTAGCAACTGTGGAAAACGAACAATATTTAATGAATTCATAAATTTCGATAGAACTCATCAACTGTGAATACTCCACAAAAATTGTTATTTTTACACTTTTCTAAAGTTAAATAAGTACAAAGACGTGGACGTTCAAATACCAAATGAAAATCAATTTCAACAAATAGATAACCCATGTTTAGTGATTGATAATCTGTTAACATCATTAATAGGCGGAGAATACTCATCCAAATACATGTTAACAAATGGACTGGAGTTATTGTGGTAGAATTAATACAATTAAAAACATCTAGATTGAAACATAATATTGAAGTACAAGGAAAATTCATCAACAACATAATGTAAACCATATAGGACTATGTAACAAAATTTTAACATGTCTGATAGTTTGAACACTCCTCATCACGATTAGTACTCAACTATGATTTTCGACATGCGCATGTCCTAAGAAAACTAACGGTATGTCAGTTAGAATAGTAACAATAATAATGATAGTAATAGTAATAATAACAAACACATTATAAACATAATAAAAACACTGTAAAGAGAAGGGGGAAGGAAAGGAAAATTATAAATGCAAGATAAATGTACGCTACCTAGGTGGATTTAAGCTAACTGCTGTCTCATTTCGTATAAATAGATCGGTCTTCTTTAATCCGATTGTACAGACTTCAGCAAAACCAATTCCTTTTTTATTACCATGCACATTAGTAAATATAAAGCTCTTATTTAACATCACCGTGTGGTCATAGTTTGATAGATATCGTGTTATTTAGCTCCTTGGGATGCCATCTTGAGTACTAGTAATTCAGTCATTTGGGGCAGTATTCAGCAACGTGAACCGACAAACGTCTTTCCGTATGCCCAATGTATTTGTTTCCACAAACACGTGTAAACTGATATACACATTTTGATGTGGCGAGGATCAATGTCCCATCTTTGTTTGTTGCTTGCACTATTCCCTTTGTTGTGTTTATGAGCAGCATTTCAGCTGCGTAATAGTTTCATTTAATTGCTTTCTCCAAGCGATTTTTCACCAATTGAATAACGTTATCTCCACTGAAAGGTAACTTTATGCAAACCTTCTTTTTAGAAACAGTCTCTAATATTGCTCTTCCTCTATTATCTTCTGCATACTTATTCATAAATCTTTCCGAATAACCACTTCTCACTAGTATCTCCTTCAAGAACTTCTCTTTGTAGTTTAGTCTACTTCTTGAACATATCTTTCCTGCTCTATCGAATAATGTTTTAACCAGACTCCTTTTGTATCGGACTTGGACGAAACTACTGAAATGTGTGTGTTGTCCTGTCCAGGTTGGCTTTTTATATATAAAGATCTCTCTACAGTTCCGTCAACCCGTCCAAGCATATTTACATCCAACAAATGTATAGTATTATTACCTTCATTCCCGACTGTGAATTTCATACTAGCACGATGCGAATTGAATTCTCCTAACATTACCTTGACTTCAACCTTATCGACCTTATGTCGCCTATATACTGTCAGCTTTTCCTATGCAGTCCCTTAAGGAAGTATGTTATAAACTTGCCAATAACACATCTGCAAACAGGAGTCCTTATGAATTTCCCATCGCTACGCTACCTGTTTGAAAATACAGTTTGTTGTTGAACGCAAAATATGGATTGCTTTATGAAATAGATAACCACTCCTGTAGTATGTGTGGAGATTGGGAAATTAAAGAAGCTTATATAGTTGCACATCGGTGGCACAGCGGTTAGGACATGGTCCGGGGTTCAATCCCCGCCGACGCACACCTGATATCCATGGGTCGACCTGCAAAATTTGGGCTGCCTATATCACATGCTGAAAATTTCATACTTGTACCAAAAGTGCTCTGTGGAATCAACCTATAATCAAAATATAAACTGAAGCAGGCAAAACTATGTTTAAATCTACCACTTGGTCTTCGGAAACCCAATTTTAAATTGAAGACTATTTTCATCAATCAATCAATTATGTATATGGATAGATAGATTATTTGTCAGTCATTACTAGTGTTTGATTTATCAAGATATCATATCTCACCAACACTGATCTGATAACTGTGTTTTGTTTCACGTTTTAGCATGGTTTGGATTCTAAAACTCAACTACCATATACCCACGTGGATGTGGCTGGTAGTGCTGGTGAGATTTATGTGACACCGACGGCTGCTCCATTGATGATGTTTGCCAGGAGGTATGTATTGCCTCGATTAGGTTTCAAGTGATGTTTTCACGATAACAGTGATAATGATAATAATAATAAGAAGAAGAAGAAGATTGAATGAAATTATACTTCCGGACAATTCGGATTTAATTCCCAGATATTCTGTTTGCCTTTCTATTTGCTATATTGATTGATACATTTGTGATTATATTGTTTACATATTACTCAATGTTTAAATATAAATAAATGATTTCTAAAAGACAAAAAATGATACTGTTTTCGGAAATGCCTTTCCAAGATAAAAAAAAATAAGTTGAAATGCGCGATCTCCATTTTCAGAGGGGAAATACAATCCGTAGTATTCAACAGGATATGATAAAATACGAAAACATAACACTTGTGTAGTAGAAGGATAAATCACAAAACAAGAAGCAATTCAAGAAATCTAATATGACTGACTTTCGTCATAAAACTTCACACAGAAGCGCAGGAGTCAAGCTGCCACACTTTATGCAGCATCACAAGGCTGGACAAAAGAGAGAAAGAAAAAGATTCAAAAAGTTATCGTAAGCAGAAAGGTGAAGAAGAAAGAATAGTAGCATAGAAAAATAAAACAATTTAGTGAATATGAAGAATCACAAAGGGTCAACTCATTTCCACCACAAAAAACTATTTTGAACCAAATCTAAAATAACCTCCATTCATCGGATTTTAGCGACACGAATACCCTAACCAGTCAGACTACATTTTCCTATGTGACGCAAACCAACTGGGGAAAACCCCATAATATGTTACCAGTATTCTCCGACCACCCGTAAATATACCCTGAAATAAACCTATCTCCAATAATACTATCCTTCATTAAAGATGATCAATTGGCGTGCGCAACATGTGTCCTAGACATAAAAGATGAGTCCAATGATACCAGGTGAAGAGACATGATCACGTGTGATGTGTAGTGTTGTGAGAGAGTGTGGATCAGTGCAGAGCACACGCGAGATGGAATGTTAACCGATGACGACTATGCTATGATTTTGGGAATTGGAGTTGAGTGAAGATATTGTGGATGCAGGTGAATGATTTGTGGTGTGTGTGAGTGTGTGTGGCGATAGTTGAGTTGAGTTGTGTTGAGTTGAGCTGTGTTGTGTTTTGAATTCAGTGTATGTAGGTGTGTGTGTGTGTATGTATGTGAATGTATGTGTGCATGCATGTAAATACATTCATATAGAAATGTATAATCGAGCGTGAGTGTTTCTGTTTCATGATTGACTAATTGACTGACTGCTGAATGACTGACTGTCTGACTGACTGACTGACTGGTTGAGCGAGCGAGTGAGGGTGTGATTGAGTGAGTGGCTGATTGATTGATGGCTGATTGATTGGATGGTTGGTTGTTTTCTGGATGTGTTTTTTAGTTTTGTCGTAGTGTGTGAAAGTGGGTGTTGTTTGTGTGCGTCGTCATCGTGTCAGGATGGCCGAGTGGTTAAGGCGTTGGACTTGAAATCCAATGGGGTTTCCCCGCGCAGGTTCGAACCCTGCTCCTGACGTCGTGGGCTTTTGTCCGACACTCGAATTCTCCTGACACAATTGTCACATCTGAGCCAGACACTTCGCTTCACTGCTAACACACGCACACACACACACACACACTCCACAACCACATGCAAACAACCCAAATACCTTCCTGAACAATGCACGCACCAGTCGACTGCACCCATCCTCCGGCCAACACTGACAACACAACAATCTCCACAAATCCACATCCGAAATAGTCAGTCATTCGAAGTACAAACGCATCCACACACCCACCAACACATGCACGCACAAGCACTCACACACACACATACACACAGAAAGTGGTCCACACACTCCAGAATCTGCGTCCACTATCCCATATCCAACCACAGTTGTCGTCGTCGAATCACGATAACCACTCTCTCGAATCAGCGTGTCACATGCACATGTGACTCGGCCTTACTCAACATCGACTGATGTGTACAACGCTCACTGTCGCCATGTACATCCTCCCCAGCACACGCGGCCACTATATATGCTTGCAAATATATCCAGGAAACACACACACACACACAGAAAACACACCCTCTTTCACTCACACCAACCCAAACGAGCAAACACATTTTCAGACAACTGTTCACACACACACACATCGAATGCCAATCAGATCTAATTGTCTCACAGAGAAATCAAACCAGATGGAAAAATTCTCAGCAGATATTTGTACTGGGCTCGGACATAATTGTCAACCACTGAACATGCATTCTCGCACCAATTTCAACAAATGCATGCACAAACACAGAAACACACACACAAAACATTTACCACAACCACAACGACAATTACAACAATCCCCAATATACTGACAAATCCAACAGCCAGCAACACAGCCAGTCAGCCAACCGATACACGCACACAGACTGAAACACACGAACCGAAATCCGTGACCCTCCAAACATCCAACACATCGTGGACGGAAACCAGTGAACACTCCTTGTCCACCTCTGAACAATCACTTCGATATCAATCAGTTGGCCGTAATCAATCCACCCGAGTCGGCTCCACGCAATTCAACCCACTGAAATCAAATGTAATCCGATGCAAAGGCCTCCTCGAATTCGGATTACATTCGGCCACACCACATTCATTCACATCCCACACGATTGCATCCCACTCACCTGGACAATATCCCCCTACCTCGATGTGTATTCGAGTCACTGTCATTACATGACATCCCATTGGCCGACTGAACATTAGACGCTGGTGTTGACCATCCCATTGTCGGATATCACAGTGAGCGGTGAGTGTAATGATGTCAGGTGAAGAGACATGATCACGTGTGATGTGTAGTGTTGTGAGAGAGTGTGGATCAGTGCAGAGCACACGCGAGATGGAATGTTAACCGATGACGACTATGCTATGATTTTGGGAATTGGAGTTGAGTGAAGATATTGTGGATGCAGGTGAATGATTTGTGGTGTGTGTGAGTGTGTGTGGCGATAGTTGAGTTGAGTTGTGTTGAGTTGAGCTGTGTTGTGTTTTGAATTCAGTGTATGTAGGTGTGTGTGTGTGTGTGTATGTATGTGAATGTATGTGTGCATGCATGTAAATACATGCATATATCAATGTATGAGCGAGCGTGAGTGTTTCTGTTTCATGATTGACTAATTGACTGACTGCTGAATGACTGACTGTCTGACTGACTGACTGACTGGTTGAGCGAGCGAGTGAGGGTGTGATTGAGTGAGTGGCTGATTGATTGATGGCTGATTGATTGGATGGTTGGTTGTTTTCTGGATGTGTTTTTTAGTTTTGTCGTAGTGTGTGAAAGTGGGTGTTGTTTGTGTGCGTCGTCATCATGTCAGGATGGCCGAGTGGTTAAGGCGTTGGACTTGAAATCCAATGGGGTTTCCCCGCGCAGGTTCGAACCCTGCTCCTGACGTCGTGGGCTTTTGTCCGACACTCGAATTCTCCTGACACAATTGTCACATCTGAGCCAGACACTTCGCTTCACTGCTAACACACGCACGCACGCACACACACACACACACACTCCACAACCACATGCAAACAACCCAAATACCTTCCTGAACAATGCACGCACCAGTCGACTGCACCCATCCTCCGGCCAACACTGACAACACAACAATCTCCACAAATCCACATCCGAAATAGTCAGTCATTCGAAGTACAAACGCATCCACACACCCACCAACACATGCACGCACAAGCACTCACACACACACATACACACAGAAAGTGGTCCACACACTCCAGAATCTGCGTCCACTATCCCATATCCAACCACAGTTGTCGTCGTCGAATCACGATAACCACTCTCTCGAATCAGCGTGTCACATGCACATGTGACTCGGCCTTACTCAACATCGACTGATGTGTACAACGCTCACTGTCGCCATGTACATCCTCCCCAGCACACGCGGCCACTATATATGCTTGCAAATATATCCAGGAAACACACACACACACACACAGAAAACACACCCTCTTTCACTCACACCAACCCAAACGAGCAAACACATTTTCAGACAACTGTTCACACACACACACATCGAATGCCAATCAGATCTAATTGTCTCACAGAGAAATCAAACCAGATGGAAAAATTCTCAGCAGATATTTGTACTGGGCTCGGACATAATTGTCAACCACTGAACATGCATTCTCGCACCAATTTCAACAAATGCATGCACAAACACAGAAACACACACACAAAACATTTACCACAACCACAACGACAATTACAACAATCCCCAATATACTGACAAATCCAACAGCCAGCAACACAGCCAGTCAGCCAACCGATACACGCACACAGACTGAAACACACGAACCGAAATCCGTGACCCTCCAAACATCCAACACATCGTGGACGGAAACCAGTGAACACTCCTTGTCCACCTCTGAACAATCACTTCGATATCAATCAGTTGGCCGTAATCAATCCACCCGAGTCGGCTCCACGCAATTCAACCCACTGAAATCAAATGTAATCCGATGCAAAGGCCTCCTCGAATTCGGATTACATTCGGCCACACCACATTCATTCACATCCCACACGATTGCATCCCACTCACCTGGACAACATCCCCCTACCTCGATGTGTATTCGAGTCACTGTCATTACATGACATCCCATTGGCCGACTGAACATTAGACGCTGGTGTTGACCATCCCATTGTCGGATATCACAGTGAGCGGTGAGTGTAATGATGTCAGGTGAAGAGACATGATCACGTGTGATGTGTAGTGTTGTGAGAGAGTGTGGATCAGTGCAGAGCACACGCGAGATGGAATGTTAACCGATGACGACTATGCTATGATTTTGGGAATTGGAGTTGAGTGAAGATATTGTGGATGCAGGTGAATGATTTGTGGTGTGTGTGAGTGTGTGTGGCGATAGTTGTGTTGTGTTGAGTTGAGTTGAGTTGAGTTGAGTTGAGCTGTGTTGTGTTGTGTTGTGTTGTGAATTCAGTGTATGTAGGTGTGTGTGTGTGTATGTATGTGAATGTATGTGTGCATGCAT